TTTTCCTCATCTGTTAAGATCGAAACATTATTTTCTCATATATACACTTCTTCTGAGGATTAAATGAGCTAATACTGATGTACAGTAAATACTAGTTCTTATGCTCCTATTGTATATAGTGTATTATAATTCACTGACACTTAAGTACAGTATTAGGCAGTAACTTACAGTCACTTCTCCTTATTCGAGGTATATTCTATGAAGTCCCCTTAAATACTGAATTAGCGAATACTGAACCAGCCTTGTTTGACCTCAGCGAGGAACATGACTATCTTTTAGCAAATGGTAAATGAATATTTATTGCTTTTTCTCCATCCAACATTAACTCCATTCTTGATATTAATCAGAATAGGGGTAATTCAATCTCTTTAAATTGTATTTCAAAGAGTTAATCCTTCTATAACTCTAACCGTTCTTTTTCTTTAACTGGAAACTGTAAAAGGTTGACCTTTCTTTTAATAGTACAAACAGATTTCCAATCCAATTGCACCTGTTCATGTAGAGTACATCAATATGATGATAAAGGTTTTCCTAAAGGTTAAACAGATATTACTCTACTAGTCTTAAATCTTTAAGATTTGTATTATTCAAATTATAAAAGTATTGCTAGCAAATCATTTTTAACTTTTCCAAAGTTGAGTTTCTGCTTTGAATTCATAATATTAGAAGACAAGTGTCTGCTTTGAATCCATAATGTTAGAACACAATCTTTTTGTGCTGTACTTATATTTCTTAGGAGTTTACCCATTCTTCAATAAATCTGCAAAGTGAGAATCATTCACTAAAAAATTTCTTATAGATCATAAACTTTTTTAACAAAAGTCTTCTTGTGAACGGCTAACACAGTTCAATTTTCAAACATCTGAGTGGTATTCTGATCCAACTTCTTCAAACAAAACTGAAGACACATGCAGCAGAAGCAACCTAAATTTTATTAGTTTGTACTTACAATATTATTTAATGTGGAATTCAGGTCTACAGGCAAACCTTTACATATTAGAATACTGCTTACTTCCAACAATGAATTCTTACATAAAACCTTTAAATCTTATCATGAAGCCTCATTATTATAAACTTAAATAGTATTTCCATAGGACCTTAAATCGTTGAGATTTGATTACTGGTTTGAGTATTTTATCTTTAATCATTTGTTTTGCTGCTTCTTTGGATGACTGGTAATTTTCTTCCAAGTATTTCTCTAATATCTTAGACTCATCAGTCCATGGTGAAAATGTAATCTCTGGATCTGTGTACAGTCTAGTATTTAATTCATCAATTACTAATAATATTATCTGAATATAAGACTATTTGAAAGTGGTATCTCCTGTATTTCTTTTGCTTCTTGGTTCCAAAGAGTTGACAGTTTCCATGCAGACTGGTAAAACAAGCAACTCTACAACTCTGTGTGAAGCATTCTGGCTGTAGCTTTGGCCTTTTCACAACTTTCCTAAGTCTCACCTGATACTAGGAACAGATCTATGAAGGAAGGGAGAGAGAAGAAACTATTTCTCATTTGGAACTTACAGTTCAAATCATTTTTAGCAGGAAATGGATGTACAGTGGTATGGTGACAGAATGTGCTTGGCACCTAGCGGTGCCAAGATGACTCAATAATTTTCATGACAGTAAAATATTTAGGCTAACAAAGAGAAGATTTACTGGGTTTAGCAATCCAAATTTGATAAACGTCTCATTAAACGGCCTAATTAGTGGGTTGAATTTCCTTTTTTGTTTTTAATTAAGACTACTGTGCTTATCTTGTCAATCTAGTAACTTTCCAGCTTCAATCACCAAATTGCGCATTATGGTGGGAAAACAGAATACCTGCACATTAAAGCCAATTTTAAAGTAACAATAGGAAAAATTAATCTAAACAAGCTATGTCCTTTGCAAGAACCCCCGTATATATTTAACGATAATGAAAATAATTTTAATTTCTATGTTAATAGAAAAAAATGAAATTAAATTCCACACACAAACACAAAAAAGTAATTTCACTGATGGCTAACAGAAAACTGTAAAGAAAGGTGATATTCAGAGTAACTGGGGATTTAACAAGAAAAATCAGAGCAAAGAACTTAAATATGGCCATTATAAAAGAAGAGCTCTCTGTCTGCAAGTATTAAGCACTAATTCTTCTGCTCCAATGAAATAATTAGTGAATTAGAACAGTTGACAGAGCCATATAATTTCAGGTGTTACAATTTTTGAATGGTTGTAAAACACTAGTTTTAATATTTTTATTACAATAGCATTTTGCAACCAAGATATCTCAAGGGATACCTATAACTGATTCATGGCACACTGATTAGGAAGCTCTGCTCTAACTATCCAAATGAATTAATACTCATCCTCTAAGACTCAGCTCGTGAACCACTTATTTCCTATTTCTCTCAAAAAGCCTGTCCAAAAAATCTCTTCCCTCTTTCAACTGTTTCTGGCACTAATAAGCTATATTTGCTATTGAATACTAGGGTTGTCTTCCCAACATCCTTTTCACCTTCCCATAGAGTATAGAAGCCTTGCTATTTGGGTGAGAATAGCAAGGACTAGGCACTGAAGGGCCTCGCTTGATTAGGGTAATCCCATTCCTTTGCTGCTTCAGGTAACCCAAGAATTGGCTCAATCAATGCATTAAAGGATTTTCAATGGTTATGGAAGGGAAAGCTCACTCCCCCTATCTGTAGTGCTGTTTGCCAACTGCTACCACGAAAGATACTGGTTTATGGATGAATCCAACACAGACAGAGGAAGGCAGACCCAGAGAACTTAAGAGAAAAGGAGCCAGAGGCCTGATCCAGCCAAACCTGATTACCATATTGTTAAGTGAGGGGGAAAAAAAATCTTAAGAACTCCTATTTTATCTAAACTTCTTTTTTTTTTTTTTGGAACAGTAGCTTTTATGAGACGTTAGTGTTCAGGAAAAAAAGATAATATCAAGGGTAAGCAAATTTATGAAATTTCATATTCTAAAGGAGCCCTTGTGGCACAATGGTTAAAGTGTTCTGCCGCTAATTGAAAGGTTGGCTGTTCGAACCCACCAGCCTTTCGGTGGGAGAAAGATGTGGTAGAGTCTGCTCCTATAAAGAATTCAGCCTTGGAAATCCTATGGGACAGTTCCACTCTGTCCTACAGGGTCACTATGAGTTGGAATCAACTCAATGGCAATGGATTTGTTTTTAGTTGTTTTTCATATTGTATCTCCCACTTAAAGAGTCACAATATAAACATTAGCTAAGAATCCAAAAAGCCCTTGTCATGGATTGAATTATGTCCCCCCAAAAATGTGTGTATTAATTTGGCTGGGCCATGATTCCCAGTATTGTGTGATTTTCCTGTATGTTGTAAATCCTGCCTCTATGACGTTAATGAGGGAGGACAGGCTCAATCTACAAGATTGGACTGTGTCCTGAGGCAATCTCTTGAAATATAAAAGAGAGAAGTGAGCAGAGAGACAGGGGACCTCATACTACCAAAAAGCAACACCAGGAACAGACCATGTCCTTTGGACCTGGGGTCCCTGTGCATGAGAAGCTCCTTGACCAGGGGAAGATTGAGGAAAGGACCTTTCCTCCAGAGCCAACAGAGAAAGCCTTCCCCTGGAGCTGATGCCCTGAATTTGAACTTCTAGCCTACTAGACTGTGAAAAAATAAATTTCTCTTTGTTAAAGCCATCCACTTGTGGTATTTCTGTTATAGCAGCACTAGATGACTAAGACAGCCCTGCTGTAAGAAAACTACTTGTTCAATTCAGCATTTCCCAAACAGATTTGACCATTTATTTTAATTGACTACCTATTAAAATTTCAAATAACACTGTGTGATATCCTAAACAGAGTTTGGAAAAAAAGATATGACTAGGTTCCGTGCTTTACAGGTGTTTCTCTTGAAGTTTTCACAATTTAAATTGTATAAAACCTAGATTTGCTTAGAAGAAATGCCATCCTGCGGTATAAAAATAAACTGTTTAAAACAATTGTTTCAACTGCTTTGTGTTTTATTAATCATAACAATGGGTGATAATATGAGAATATCTAAAAAGACCGTGAGCTGGATTATTGATAATATTGATGGTTACAAAGAAAGGCCATTGCTCTTGAGCCTACATGTAATCAAGCCTTGAGCTAGATGCAATCAAGAGCTGGATTTGCCTAGTGATGTTCAGGATTTAGCTTATACAGTCATATTTGTTAGAAACAAAAAACAAACAAAACCCTTGAAATCAACGTGAGGAAAAAAATTTATTGCAAATCTGAAATATTTCCCTAACATTTTCCTATTAAAACACTTGTTTTTATAATACGATTTTTTTTTAAATATCAAGTTTCCTAAGAACATGCCTATCAAGTTAATAGCAGAACTGAGTGTACGTAGTACTATCAGATGCACTGAGTCAAAATCAGGGGGAAGGTGACAAGACCCAAAGTCACTCAAGAGATTGCTGGTGGGGGCAGGCAGAAACACGGTATTTATAGACCAAGTCTTATTACAGAAAATGTCACTCCAAAGATTTCTATATAATACAGTGGAGTAGAATTTTACACATAGGTTAGTCTGACATAAGTAACTACCAAAATTACCCTAGAAAGTAAACATGGTATTTTTAAAACATGATTTTAGGGCTGTCATGATTGGTTTGCTATGTTCTGAAATGATCCAAACATGCTCACTATTTTATTATTAAAACAATCCCAAAAGAGAAATAAGAAACCAGTTTCTTACCTTCCAAAAAGACTATCATGAACAACATAGACAGAACATACACTGAGATCTATTAATCCTTTTGGTTTTGTAGCTCGTTTTTCACTTTCAAAATAAATAAGTTGGGCATCACTGCCTTCTAAGATAAAATATAAATTTTTCCACCGTTTTCCTTTGCCTATTTGAAAAAAAAAGCTAAACATTAAACTGTGGAATTATATATATTAAAATCATAAAATCATCTTTGCTGAAAGTAAAAATCAAATGTATTTTAATTTTTATTCCAAAGTTTAAACAATATGCCAATCCTTGTATAATAGAAAACTGCTTTTCATTTATCTGTAGAAAAATGTCATTTGTTATATTGCTTGTTTTAATGAATTACAGGATAAATGATAAGGGCAACTTAACTATATCTATAGAGATAGACCACATTACAATGAAATCTTTAAAATACTTATTTAGGAGTAATTCTTTCCAATCTTAAGAAAAAAATTCTTCCACTAACCCTGTCCCACTCATCATGTCTTAATGCCAAACTGAGGTAAATTCATAAAATAAAAACATCAGTACTATGGATGTGCCAAGAATTATAAGGTGTTCCTCTATTAAAAATGTGTTGGGGGTGGGGGGAAAAGAATCAAATACTTTGCACTAGAACTAATATATTTAGAAACATATAACAGTGTCCTAAAACCTGGCTGGAATTGTGGACTTAATATATACCTAGACTATAGATTTTGAAAGATGCTTAGATAAAAGTTCTAAACACATATCAATTACTAATAATTCATGTCAAAACAACTTATTAAATACATATCGCAGTCTTATGCTCAATATTTTACAATGCCTCTATTAAATGTGTGAACTATAAAATACTGAAATTGAATCCTTAGTCATAAAAGTTAACACTTACCCTTTTTTAGAAGATAACCTTTTTTAACGATATTTTTATAAAAGGCATCCTTTGTTTTACGACGAATTGTATTATAGATTTCCTTGCCATCCACTGCATCATTGAGTACTTGTTCTTGATCCTGAATTTTAAAAAAATACTAAAATTATTTCAGGAATTCTTGATGGGAATAAAAATAATCCTACTACCAATTAAAAAACAGACTGTCTAGACATAATAAAGTGCTTTTAATTGTAAAATCTAAATATACATATATTAAGAGACCCTTTGCTTTCCAAAGAAATTCCCACAAAAGTTTCCTTGCCATTTCCCAAAAACATGGACTACAAATAAGCTATTTTAAAAAATAGTCAGTTTTGTTATATTTTACAGCAAATAATGTTTAGAAAACATGAATTTGTCCCAATGTAACTGATACATTACACAAATTTATGTTTGCTTATGCACAATTACATCTATAAGCAACAATAAGTGAATGCCGAAAACTGCACCCAGCTGAACAGAGAAACCTGGGAATATACAAAAGCACACTCCTCACACATCTAACACCTCCCTCAGCTCACCAAATGTGCTATATGACACACCCACCTATCCACATCTGGTGTTATAACTTTCCATCTGATTTCAGGTAATTTCAGATAATCCTTTACCACTTCACAATACATTATAAGCAGCAGCCCTTCTGATCGTCATTTCCACAAGTAAACTTAAGATCCTTTTCAAAATAAATACCATATTTATTGTAGTATTTACGTGCTCTTAACCATTTACATGTAAAAAAAAACTATACTACATTTTTATTTGGTTCCCATCTTTTTTCCATGTATCACCGATGTAACTTTTCAGTGTTGTGCCCCTAGCTCCATTTTCCCCATTAGCTCTGGCATTTATATTGCATGATTCTGCATAACATAGTGACTTTTAGGAATGTATATGTCACATTATAGCAGAACTGACAATAATTGCTAAATCCCCAAATAACAAAAAGAATTACGTCAGGAAGAACATAAAGAAAAAAGTACCTTCATAATAATCTTTCAAGAATAAATTAATCTTCAATATTACCATCAATGCCCAGCTACCACCAATCACCACCCTGACAGGAAACACAACAGAGAATCCCTGACGGAATGGGAGAAAAGTGTGGAGCAGAACTCAAATTCATGTAAAAAGCCAAGACTTAATGGTCTGACTGAGACTGGAGAAACGTCCGAAGGCATGGCTCC